TGGCAGTCGAGTTCATACTAGGGTCGGGGAATTTTGTTAGCACTGAGGCAGGTTGGAAAGTTGGTACATGCATGTTTGGGAATTGTTGGTAGCCGAGTTCATACTAGTGTCGGTGAAGGTTGGTTTTGAACTCGGAACATGCATGTTTTGGAATTGTTGGTAGCCGAGTTCATACTAGTGTCGGTGAAGGTTGGTTTTGAACTCGGAACATGCGTGTTTTGGAATCGATAGGTGTAGAGTCCATACTAGGGTCGGTGAAGTTTTCACCGAAGTGGTTTCAAAGTTAGTACAGGCATGTTTTGGAAGTGTTAGGGGTCGAGTTCATACTAGTGTCGGTGAAGGTTGGTTTTGAACTCGGAACATGCATGTTTTGAAATTGTTGGTAACCGAGTTCATACTAGGGACGGGGGCGAGGGTGGCGGACAAAGTTGTCGATGTAGGTAGGGTGCAAGAGATATTCAACGAGGAGTGGTGTCTACAAGTTATGTATCCCAGTCTGTTGGAGTGGTTTCTAGGGGGTTGTGATATTAGTTGAATAAATATTTGTCTGTAGGATTGTCATACAGCCTTTGTCTGTCCAAGGAATAGTGTGAGTAGTAGTACGGTCTGTTTATCTAGCGGTTGGTATTGAGGTTAGTGTGATGACGCAAGGTTGGATGGGAGAAGGGGAACGGGGTTGTGGACAAAGGGAAGGGGAAGGGCGAATAGTGATAAAAATAACTCACCCAGCCCCTTAATCAATCAAAATTATTGATTTGTACTTTAGAGTGATTAGATTGAATGATATGTATGCTAACGTCATATCATATTTAGTTTTTACGTCATTATTTTGGTGAACTTTAAATGTAGACATTTTAACGGTGTGTCATTTGACACGACGTACTATAACGTTGTTGATTTTTAAAACTTGAAGTTTATAATCTTAAGCAAATTTACCACCACCTTACCACCACCTTACCACCACCTTACCACCTTACCACCACCTAAGGTGATCAAAAATTAAGATGACAATGTAAGATATAGAAAAAGAAAATACATTGAGTGGTAAAAATAAAAAAATTGTCATTAGACGTAATGTATTATGTATAAGTTAACTTTCTTAAAAATTAAAGAAGTTCAAGTCAAAAAGAAGATTGATGAAAACTGTAATACTAAAGCGAACATGGGAAGGTAATCTGCTGCAAGACTAAGATATATATTTTGTTAACCCTTGTCTTCCTAAATTATTTTTTAACTTTTTAAAGAAATTGACTGTTTAGTTAAGGATTCTGACGCGAATTTTTTCACAAGGGACGATACTCGTGTCTGTAGACAAGGTTGTTGTAATTTTAGAACAGTTGTCTTTCCTCTCGTTTCTCTATTAGGGAAGCCGTAAGGGGAAGACACGCGACACGTCTTTTAAAATGTAAACAAGCGTGCACGGGGTGCACTTAAAATAAACCCCGCTGCGACAATTGTTAAATTTATCTGGCTCAGTGTGGTCAAATGGTGGTCAGATCAAAAGAAAATCGGAACGGTCATAAAAAACGTAATTACTTTTCCAGACTTGTAAAAAACATGTCTACCCCGCATACCTACGTACCAACGCACCAAGTCGCCCTGTCGCCCATTAAAAAACACGAACCTACCGAGACTTCGTTTCGTCTCAAAACCTGACTTAACGGTGGTTGAAAGAAAATTCCGACCCTTAAATATATTTTTGTTTTCGCTGACCCTCGCTATAAGCGAATAGTTACAACCATTAATCTTTCATACATAGCAAGGGACGGTACGCATGACATGTGGAAACAAAATTTTTTAATTTGATCAAAGAATGACCGGGCGTACGATATGTGAACATAGTTCATGTACAGCTGTAGTCTAATGAAAAAAGCCGAGAGCCGTGACTAATTACAGCACCAGCTGTCGCCACACTTAACGCGGAGAGGGACTTAATGGCTTCGATTAATTACCTGTTGTGATCGCTTCAGTGAGCCCGCTATTAAGCAACCACGGGGAGCGCCTGGGAGGATTACGGGCGGATCGATAAGTACAAGCTGTCGCTAATAAGTAACAGCTGTGGTTAAATGGATGTTATACACAATGACACTTTCTAGTACACGCTAGTGTTAGTCTTTTATTTCAAACGGCGTACAACAAAGAAATTAAAAGCAAACTAATTAAAATGAATTTCAAACAAATAAATTATACAAAGTAATTAAATTAAACAACAAGTAAACAACAATTAAAAATAAAATTTAAAAATAATAATTTAAAAAATTTAAAAAGTTAAAAAATTAAAATCAAATTACGTAACTCGTTAATAATAATTAAACTAATTATAAAATTAAATTAAAAAAAATTTAAAAATTTAAAAAATTAAAATCAAATTACGTAACTCGTTAATAAAAAATTACACATAGATGGACCATCATACTGATGGTCAGTAGGTGCGATCAATACATTCCCATTAAAAGCGCAGCGCGTGTCAACAAAGGATCACGGATCGTTAAGTAACAGATGTGGTTAAATGGATGTTCTATTTTCGGTAACCGTTCGTTGTGTTGCTGAATGGTCCATAACGTTGTTGATTTTTAAAACTTGAAGTTTATAATCTTAAGCAAATTTACCACCACCACCACCACCACCACCACCACCACCACCCGCTTGGTAACATCTGTCGCCAGTAATTAACAGCAAACTAATTAAAATGAATTTCAAACAAATAAATTATACAAAGTAATTAAATTAAACAACAAGTAAACAACAATTAAAAATAAAATTTAAAAATAATAATTTAAAAAAAAAAAAAAATTTAAAAATTTAAAAAAAAATTAAAATCAAATTACGTAACTAGTTAATAATAATTTAACTAATTATAAAATAAAATAAAATTAAAAATAAACAAAATAGGTAATGTCCGGTTGATCCGCCTAATTACAGCACCAGCTGTCGCACAACAGTTGTTGCATAATGACCTACGTACTTCACGGAGAGGCACTTAATGTACGTCGTAAATTACCATAACCTGTCAACCGCTCGGGGGAAACTCGGTGAAGCCTAACAAAAATTTAATTAGGTGTGATGGGCCAGCGGCTGCGATCAATACATTCCCATTAAAACGGGCAGCGGTGAGGAAACTTCGCGGGCGGGTCGATACGTAACAGCTGTGGCTGATCGTTATCTTTAATGGATGTTATTCACAAAGTACACGGCTAGTGTTAGTCTTTTATTTAAAACATACATACATTCAAACAAACCAACAAATTAAACAACAAAGAAAAGAAATATATCAAAGTAATTAAATTAAACAAAGTAATTAAAATCAAATTACGTAACTAGTTAATAATAATTTAACTAATTATAAAATAAAATAAAATTAAAAATAAACAAAATAAAAATAATTAAAAAGTAAACAAATAATCAAATTACGTAAATTACAGCACCAGCTGTCGCACAAAAGCTGTTGCATAATGACCTAAGTGCTTCGCGGAAAGCTACTTAATGTATGTCGTTAATTACCATAACCCGTCAACCGAGCGGGGGTAACTCGGTGAAGCATAACAAAAATTTAATTAGGTGTGATGGGCCAGCGGCTGCGATCAATACATTCCCATTAAAACGGGCAGCGGTGAGAAAACTTCGCGGGCGGGTCGATACGTAACAGCTGTGGCTGATCGTTATCTTTAATGGATGTTCTATTTTTGTAACGTTCGTTGTGTTGGAAAATGGTCCCTATACAAAGACTGTTCTAGTACATGCTAGTGTTAGTCTTTTATTTAAAACATACATACATTCAAATAAATAAACAACATTAAACAACAAAGAAAAGAAATATATCAAATAAATAAATAAACAAAAGTAATTAAAATCAAATTACGTAACTAGTTAATAATAATTTAACTAATTATAAAATAAAATAAAATTAAAAATAAACAAAATAAAAATAATTAAAAAGTAAACAAATAATCAAATTACGTAACTCGTTAATAAAAATTACACAATATAAACAAAGTAATTAAATTAAACAACAAGTAAACAAACAAATTAAACAAAATAAAAATACAATCAAAGTAATTAAATTACGTAACTCGATAATAAAAATTAATTAAAAATTTAAAAACTCATTAAAAACGCATTAAAATTACGTAACTATAAAATTTAAAAATTAAATTCAAACTCATTAAAAAACGCATTAAATTACGTAACTAGGTCAAAAATTAATTAAAATTTTAAAAACTCATTAAAACTCATTAAAAAAACGCATTAAAATTACGTAACTAGGTCAATGATGACGTCACAAGGTCACTAATTACGTCACAAGGTCAATGATTACGTCACAAGGTCACCAAAAGGTGACCTACTTCCCCACCACCTCCGCCAACCCCAGTTGGCGTAGTATTTTACTATATCTCGTTGTCCCGCCTGCGCATCCTGCTCACCCACCCTCCCCATCCCGATGCGCCAGGCTGGGAGTATTTTACTATATGTCATTGTCCCGCCTGCGCATCCTGCTCCCGAGTATTTTCCTATATGTCATTGTTCCTCCCCATCCCCACCTCCGCCAAAAATAATACCCAAAAGGGACCTAATATACTACTAACCAAATCTTTATGCTATAGTTAAACTTTTTTTTTTTAAATGGGGTCCTAGTGTAAAATGCTGTCTCTCTTTCTGTCCTACTGAACAATGAAGATTTTATACGTACGTGAAATGAAGATTTAAATTATATATCTACGTGCAATGAAGATTCAATTTGTACGTACAATGAATATTTTAATTGTACGTTCAATGAAGATTCAATTTGTAGGTACAATGAATATTTTAATTGTACGTTCAATGAAGATTCAATTTGTACTTACAATGAATATTTTAATTGTACGTTCAATGAAGATTCAATTTGTACGTGCAATGATTTTAATTGTACGTGAAATGAAGAATAAATTTGTAGGTAGAACCCAACCTGTTGCTGAACATGTCTAGATTTAATGTTGAAGTATTTGTTTCCTCTCTGTGTTTAGATGAGCAGTCCCCCGCAGGTAACATTTACATTGTCTTATCACCTGCATCCTATACATGTCTAGCCTCCAACGCTGGCACCTGTTCCCGTCATGGTGCGGCTGTATATCATCTCCCCGTACCACCTCTTCCGTTTTTTATCTACCTGTATGTCTGGATATATCTCCCCCCGCCCTTTTCTGCCTTATAAATTCATGGTTTAGCTTATGCCTGTATCTTAACATTGTTGCCCATTGCACCTTTTTCTTTCACTTCATTATTATGCTTGTATGTCAGTATGTTATCAATCAGTTATAAAACAAACTGTTTCTTAGTTACTTTAGCGTATAGTTATGGCGAATATTTGCTTTTACCTACCATCTGTGTTTTGTTTTGTCATAAACCATTCAGTAGAAAAAATCGTAACCTAATATGTTTAGTTTGGCCTCTGTACGTAGATGCTACCTGTTTTTTTTTAAACCATCAGTTCTGTTGGGAAAAAAAATCAACGTTAATATATTTAGTTTGTCCTAATTAGTTTTGACTGTAAGATATTAACCCCTAAAAGCGTGTTAGTTAAATGATTTGCTGAAACCCATTTTTTTACTAAACATAAACCTGCATTTTGTTTTTTCTACATTTCCTACTTAGTGTAATCTCTTTTTGATGTGTTTTTTTCACCTTTATCTGCATGATCGTGTGCTGTCTTTTAGACATGTACATTTGTAACCCTCCCCCACCCATACATACTTCACTACATAGATACATTTACGTATATTGTATACGCATATTTACATATTGCACAGTAACAATTAACTTATCTCGTAACTTACACTGGTCAGTAATTTATTTGATCTTCTAGCCCTACCTGTCTGATACACCTGTCTGTTTCTACCTGCCCAGCGTACCTGTCTGCCTCTCTGCTCAATATTCCTATCTATTGCTACCTGTATTCTACCTACCCAATATTCCTGTCTATTGCTACCTGTATTCTACCTGCCCAATATTCCTATCTATTGCTACCTGTATTCTACCTGCCCAATATTCCTGTCTATTGCTACCTGTATTCTACCTGCCCAATAATCCTGTCTATTGCTACCTGTATTCTACCTGGCCAATATTCCTATCTATTGCTACCTGTATTCTACATGCCTAATATTCCTATCTATGCTACCTGTATTCTACCTGGCCAATATTCCTGTCTATTGCTACCTGTATTCTACCTGCCCAATATTCCTATCTATGCTACCTGTATTCTACCTACCCAATATTCCTGTCTATTGCTACCTGTATTCTACCTGCCCAATATTCCAGTCTATTGCTACCTGTATTCTACCTACCCAATATTCCTGTCTATTACTACCTGTATTCTACCTGGCCAATATTCCTGTCTATTACTACCTGTATTCTACCTGCCCAATATTCCAGTCTATTGCTACCTGTATTCTACCTACCCAATATTCCTGTCTATTGCTACCTGTATTCTACCTACCCAATATTCCTGTCTATTGCTACCTGTATTCTACCTGGCCAATATTCCTGTCTATTGCTACCTGTATTCTACCTGGCCAATATTCCTGTCTATTGCTACCTGTATTCTACCTGCCCAATATTCCTGTCTATTGCTACCTGTATTCTACCTACCCAATATTCCTGTCTATTGCTACCTGTATTCTACCTACCCAATATTACTGTCTATTGCTACCTGTATTCTACCTGCCTAATATTTCTATCCATTGATACATGTAGTACTCTGCTTCCCTGGAGCTCTAGCAGCAGTCGGCGCCATTTTGTGGTGCCGTCAGATATCAATACAGGACGATCACGTCCCCCCACCCCCATTCCATCCCACCTCGCAGTTCGCAAACACCCCATTCTCGAACTTGCAGAGTTGTAGGTGAACGGAATCAATACAATTCCACCGTGGAACGAAATTAGCCACGAACCGAAGTGCTAGGCATTTGTTGTGTACCAAGCGGGGATTAAACTCTCTACTTACTGAGATGTTGATTTCTTGTCTCACATGGGGTGTTCATATCTTGATTTGTGTGCTCAAACTCACACGAAACGAGAACTGTTATTCGAAGATCCGTCATGTGTATTACAAATATTAATCGTTGAAATGTGTAAACAAAGTGTTCATTGACAAATGTCAAGCCTTGTTTATTTATAACTATCTAGGCCAGTTTATTTCTTCATCCTGTCAAGTGTGTCTCTACATTTTCTATTGTCAGGATTCTTTTACACAACAGCACTTGTCAGTGCTGAATTAAACATTAAGGATGATAAAAAAAGATCTGTGTCATTATATCCACTCTTTAGAAATCGTTTGCATTCGCGTTACTCGTGTTACAACTTATCCTTTTGACGTGGTTAATTGGTAACTGTTTAGAAATGTACATGGATGTATGGATTAATATATTTCGGTATCAAGTGAAAATATGACCTCAGTAAAGCCCAGTGACTTATTTCTTCTTCTTTTTTTTTTAAGTCTTAACAACAAATGTTACAGCAAATATTTTTCACATCATACCTCAGCATGGTAACCCCCCCTTTTGCATGTTCATTTTATATTTTAATCATTATAATAAGGGTAGCACGTTATTTTATTGTTTCTTTTCAATTTTTTCCCCTTTTTTTCATGACCCCTCTCCTTCACCCTTTTTTTTGGGGGGTTTGTTTTCGCAGTATATTAGGTGTTCTATTAATAGATGCGTAAACAAAGCATAGAGGAATGAGAAAGCCAAAACACAACATAAACTAGTTCACCTATCTTTGTTACTCACACCAAACGACTCGTGTGTCATTTGTGAAACAATTGACACTCACACTGTCACGGTTACTACTGACAGTGTCAAAACGTCACAATGAAGTTTTTATGAGGGAGACAGTAAAATTTATATTTGTCAATGTATATAATTCTTTATTTTAACCGTCAGTCTAACACATTCATGTTGTAAAACTATTATTTTTTAAAATAAAATATTCCTATTGTAAAACTTAACTCTTTGCATACAATTCCGAATGCAATTATTGTATCTAAATGTGTTTAACAAAGCATGAGTTGAAGCATGTATATATTTTTACTGGATTTTAATTTGATGATAAAATACATAAATAACATTGTTGACTATAACGATATCAACCCATTTTTAAGCTTTTTTCGATTATAATTATTTTAACAATTCAACCAGAATGTATATTACAGTACTGTCATTCACACACAAACACACAAAGAACTAATTCGTGCATTAACTGTTTTAATTAAATTTCTGACAGAAATATGGAAATTTTTTTTATTGAACAATATAGTCTCATTTTATAAGAGACATGAATAATTTTAATTGTGTTTGAAAAAAAACCGGATATCTTTTAACCTGGACAATGGATAACTAAAAAAATGTTCACCAAAATGTCGGACACAATTCACGGATAACTCGGAATGATGTCAAAGAAAAGGTCCAAAGTCCAGCAATCGGCGTCCTGCTGGGCTCTGCACGAGTTACCCCCGCCATAACCCCCTGTTTCTGACTCTCTCCCTAGATGCACGGAAGAACGGGGACAGCAAGCCGGTCACAGCCTCAGCCAGCGCCACCCCGCCCGCAGAACGGAAGAGCAAGCTGTCGACCCTGGGGAAAATATTCCGCCCCTGGAAGTGGAAGCGGAAGAAAAAGAGCGAGCGGATCGAGAAGGCGGCCGTGGGTGAGTAGCTGTTTGACCTCTTCTCGGCCTAGAACCCCCACACCACGTGTTTCCAGCTAGTCGGCCTTGAACTCTTGGAGTTCATTGCTAGATTTAACTAGCGTGGTGTCTCAAGGTCTCTATCGTCTGTGTGAGCTGTTTTAATTTCTCTCTAACCATCTACCTCTGTCTACTGCCCCCCCCCCCCCCTCTCCCTCACTTATATGTCGAGGTAAGCTCTATGGTAAAACTACAGCTTTCCCGAAGGACCTAGCAACTATGTCATCATATAAACCACATACATAAATATAAATAAGTATGTGGTATTGTTGCTTTGACTGTCGGAAAGTTTGACCGAGTGGGTGAATTTAAACAGCTGGTCTGGCCTGTAAAGCCTAAAGAAAAAAAGCCTCAGCAGATACGGTTACGTATATATAGTTGGAAGCTACAGAGATTTCTATCATGTATACGTGAGTTCCGGTACTAGAAGTACTAATAATGCTGTAAGGGGAACAAAATCACTCAGTGGACCCCCAGTGTAGTGCTGATTGGTTTGTAATGTTTAACAGAGTCCAGTTTCAACTGCCGTTATCTCATATATTTTTTTCATAACTTTGTACCTCTGTGTCTACCTTTGTTGTACTACTGTACTACATATTCAGAAAACAAAATGATGTTGTACCAATGAATTTTCTAGCTCCAAAACAGTTTAAAATTTGAAAAGTTGAAGTTGGCACACCCTCCCCCCGTTCTTATCCAACCCCCCCCCCCCCCCCCCCCCCCCCCCACGCATATAAATAGTGAGGGCTTGGTGAAGTGTGATACAAATCGGTGCGCCTCAGCACCTCGCTGGGGTCACTGGGATGACGTCACCGAGTTCACCGTGAACTTGCAGTGTATGACTACACGCTTCACCAGTCTTCACGCTTCACTTGCCATATGAAGCGACCCCCCCCCCCCCACCCGCATTCACTGGTATCATGTGAGTTCATAAATCAATGACGTCTTCTATAAATAGATCAAGACGTATAAATTTTGTCAGCAGAACACGAAGCCGACCCTCATGGGACAGAAACTTTTAAGTAACTTTGCTTTATACGTAGTGCCGTTAACAGTCGCTCGGCAAGAATAAAGAATTGCACCACCACACCCTCATTTAGTAAAATAACTTTTATTAAGAAAAGTTTGAAAAACTAGTGCGTGGAACAAGTATAAGAACTACATTACAAGATGAACTAATTTCAGTTTCCTTCATGTTGGTAGTAGAAATAATTTGACTCTTAGCTCCAAAGTTTAAAATTAAAACGTTTCTATTGAAAAATAAGCAAGTAAAAACTAGTTGTAAAAACAAGTTGCAAAATCGTAAAAATAAGTAGAAAAACGTAAAAACAAGTTGCAAAAACCTAAAAAATAAGTTGCTAAAACATAAAAGAAGTTGCAAAAACAGTTTGAACAAACTTCAAAAAACAAAATGAACAAACTAGAAAAAACAATTGGAATAAATATGATAGAAGTCGAACCAACAGAGCCTGCATGCGATGCCAAGTGTATTGGGTGCCCTTCACATGTGCTGTCTAGGATTGATGAGATGAAGTTTAAACAAATTAAGATGTCATTGAGAAGTTTACTTTATGGAGAAATTGTTTTTTTTTAACCGGCTTGTGCTATCCGGGACAATTTAAAACAAAGCTCAAAAATTAATTTTGAAAAAATTCCGCTAGAAAAAAAAGGGGACTGTTTAACTCCCCTAGCCTCGAGGCTCTTCTGCTGACATAGGCGGGAAGTCAGGCTTAGCTGACGTCACACTCGTCACGTATGACTTTAAGCACAATACTTAGTAACCATAGCAATGTATTGAACACAGCGTGGGGGCGGGATCTCTTTTACCTGAGTGATTAAAACAGCACGTTTATATGTGCATTAAACTTGGGAAACATATAAAGCACATTAAGTCACGTAAATCCAACGACGAAAGACTGTGGTAGAGAGTTGAAACTTGGGAAACATATAAGGCACATTAATTCATGTAAGTCTAATGACGGGAGAGGGTTGAGCAGGGGTTGGATAGATCGCGTTTGAACGTTTACTCCAAATGAGAGTACTTAACGCGCTAGACATGATTTTGGCACTGCACGGTCGACATTCCCCCCTCCCCCCCTAACCCACGACGGTCCTTTAATACCTAAAGGTTCCTTCTCTATTATACAATAGTACTTAAATAAAGTGAAAATTGTGATCGGGTGCATTGACGTCATGGCGACGTTATTGAAATTACCTTTCGGGTGCTTACCTTCAAGGTATTTTCGGTGTACGTTTTATTAAGGTCCATACAAACAGAAAGATGGTCACAAAATGACAAATACGCTAGTGCAGATGTACAATTATGATACTGTTTTAAAATATATTCTTGCTAATGTAAAATCTGCTTATGTTTTTATTACAAACCTTAAATTCTTGCTACTGTAAGTGAAGCACCAAGTTTCATTTAGCATCGCTCCTTAATTTTTGCCCAACATTTCGTTACAATTTTCCGCGCTACGTATTTTCATGAAGAAGTGTAATTCTCTCCTCCAATTTTTTTTTATACATGGTATACTCCCCTCAACATTTGAACAAAACGGTATCGATAAAAAAATATTATTTTGCAATCAGCATATCGACCCTTTTTTTTGCATGATTTACCGGTATTAGCTTTGTACATGCATGCGACTTCTTGATGCGAGCCTTGCTAGGTGGACGCACTATTTGTTTAGACGTACCCATGTAGGTAGTGTAGAGGTCTCACCACACACAGGCCATTTTGAATGGACGCTTTCCGTCTTCGCTTCAGAAATCGAACGCAAAATCTCCATGCGTACGTCCAGGGAGGAGTTGATACGAAAAGGTGTAATTCGGGAACCAGACGGCACGCAGAACCACTCGACTCCAAAGATTGGTAAGTTTATCCAAGTTTTTTTTATAGTGGGTGAGTTGGTGAGTTTTATGTTATGTGTTGAGTACTGCCTGGTGTGATACACTTCTATGTTGCATGTTGTATCTTTTCTACACTGTCATCTTGCAATTATTTTTTATATTGTATCATTTAAACTTAGTTATCTTGCAAATTTTGGTGCATTTATTATATATATATATATATATATATATATATATATATATATATATATATATATATATAGTATATTTTGATTTAAATTAAGTTGTCTTGCAGTATTATTTTTATAAAAGCTGTATCATTAAACTCAGTTGTCTCGCTATGTTTTGCTGTTAAAATTCAGCAATTTAAACTTAGTTGTCTCGCAACTGTTCGCTTTTAATATTGTATCATTTAAACTTAGTTGTCTGGCAATTTTTTTTTGCTTTTAATATTGTATCATTTACTTTATTTACACATAGTTGTCTCGCAATTATTTGCTGTTAATATTGTTTTTTCAAAAACTTAGTTGTCTCGCAGTGTTTTGTGTAGTATTGCGGTATTCATATTGGTGTGAATCTGTCATGAACGACCTAGTACTAAATAACCTCCTACGAATATTTCTCATGGTCAACTTTGTTCAGTGATGACCGAATCGTCCTCTGTTTACTTAAAGTGTAATGAATGTATCGACGGTCTATAAATAGACATCCTGTAATATTTTTAGAAACGAATGTGAGTAACCTGTATTGTTCATACATTCGTGTTCTGAGCTGTGCCTCCCCCTGCCCCACTTGTCAGTATTTAGATTGTCACACCACTCTTGTCTAACAATGTCATTTAAGTCCGTTCTGTATTGTTCTATTGTTGTTATCAGGGCCTGCTAGCTTCCTGACTGCTGCTATGGTGTTTTTAATTGTATTTTGTTGAATGTTTACTTAACTCGCAGTTGATGACATCTTCGAACGCTAGAACACATTTTTTATCGTTCTTTATTTATGTTTTACTTAACTCGTGAGATTATTAATTAAAAGAAAAACCACATAATTTTTAATCGATTTTTTACGATTCTGTTCTTATACCCTAGCGAATTGAATACTTTCTGTAGTCAGTAATAGATGAAGAACGATAAATGTAGGGTTGAAGCATGGTTGTCAACAATAGACGAAGAACGATAAATGTAGGGTTGAAGCATGGTTGTCAGCAATAGATGAAGAACGATAAATGTAGGGTTGAAGCATGGTTGTCAGCAGGCGGCAGTAAACGTAGACCGTTTATAACTTTGATTCTCGCGTCCCCGTGCTCAAATACTCTCTGGCATAATGGTGCCTCGTGCTACACGACGGCAACCATTTCACGAGCTACACGACGGCAACCATCTCATGAGCTACCTGTTGGGTAGCCTATATGCTGCGGGCAGTGCCTCCTGCTATACGACGGCAACCATTTCATGAGCTACCTGTTGAGTAGCCTAAAATGCTGCTGGCACTGCACGACGGCAACCATCTCACGAGCTACCTGTTGGGTAGCCTATATGCTGCGGGCAGTGCCTCCTGCTATACGACGGCAACCATTTCATGAGCTACCTGTTGAGTAGCCTAAAATGCTGCTGGCACTGCACGACGGCAACCATCTCACGAGCTACCTGTTGGGTAGCCTATATGCTGCGGGCAGTGCCTCCTGCTATACGACGGCAACCATTTCATGAGCTACCTGTTGAGTAGCCTAAAATGCTGCTGGCACTGCACGACGGCAACCATCTCACGAGCTACCTGTTGAGTGGCCAGCACTAACCTAAATGCAGCTCAGGTTAAAATAATTTATCCAGGAGTGGAGGGATGGGGGTACGGACGGAAGGTAGATTAAAAAACCCAACAAGACCTTCACTGTCTTCTATTTTTCTCATCTCTTGAGCTTAGTTTTTTAGTGCTTTTTATTAAAGGTCGACAGGTTTTTTAAAAAAAAAGATATACACCATTACATCACGTGCGTTTTGGCTCCAGCCCATGTCTCTGCTCACCTACAGGGAGTGTTCAAAGGGCAGGTAGATAGCCTTGAGTTTAGGTCAATATACGCAGCACGTCGTTATACTTAAGTTAGACCTGCCATTCATTCAGTCTTCGTGTCCATTGCGCTTGATTGTAACTGATGAATTTTAACATCCCAATGTTCAAATAGCCAGACTTCTAATAGTAAACGCTATGTAACATTCAAGTGTTTCAATAGCCAGACTTCCCAGGATCGTACTTCTCCAGTACATGTCTACACGTTAAAAAAATAATATCGTTTATTTTAGCTAAGTGTATGTTCTTGTTTCTTCAACAATTAGCCAGCTGCTGTTAGTGTGATTGGTTAAGTGTAGAACAGTATTTTTGTTTCGTTTTTAGTTGTTTTTTTGTGTGTGTGTGTGTGTGACATAGCTCGCTTTTTGTTTTAGTTTCTAAAGTAAAGATTTAAAGTGAAGATGGCTTAGGAAAAGTTTTTCTTTGTGACTTGTGTAGGGTAGAATAATAAGTTCTGCGTGTGTTGAAATCTAGGGAAGTTACTATTGCTAACGTTGAAGTCTAGCCAGTCCCCATTGTTCCCGTCTACCCCGGCGGTTAGATCCTCACCTGTCCTATCAGCAGGTGAAGGACGTCCTTGTTGACAGACACACCGTTGATCAAAGGTAGCTGAGTGGCTCAGGTATGTTTGACCCGGCCTACAGACGTACTATGGTGCCTCTTTGATGCTTACCTCAGCAGTAACCCCCCCCCCCCCCATCTCAAACCATTTCGAGTTGCTTGCCTTTGTCCTTTTTCTCCTTTGTTTAAGAGAATAAACAAACAAAAAATTATTAATTGACTGGCTAATTCTGTGATTATAAAAGTCAGCAAAGCTGTATGTAGCTACTGGCATTGTCATTATAGTTGTGTGCATCGGCCCTATAGCTTCTATCACTGACATTTTAGTTGTGCGCATCGGCCCTAAAGCTTTTGTCATTGTCATTATAGATGTGTGCATCGGCCCTATAGCTTCTGGCATTGTCTTCATTGCTTATTTGATAGTGATATAAATGCTGAGTAGTGTTAGCAGTGTGGACGTTGAGCATGGTTAACGATATAAAAAACTGACCAATCGTATGGTGTTGTTATTGAGCTAAGTCTCGTAAACGTAAGGGGGGGTGGGGGGTGGGGGGCTCGCGTGCAATCATGTATTAGCTATCGGATATTGATTATTAGGTGAAGCTGGCGCCGAAGCTATGAAAATTACACTGGCGTATTCGGGGATGCATTCAATGCTTTGCTAACTCATTCATTGAACAGCTTTATGTATATTTTAGTCTTTTCAATATAAAATACAACAAAGAAACGAACACATTTTATAAACTCGAATTAATAATCTGGCAATGATGTTTTGGGCGACGAAATAGTCGAATGACAGAGCATACGACTGCTACCCAAAATTCTCGAGTTCGAATCATGGTTAAAATACGTAGAACGTGCATGAGTCCTCCCAGCTCTGATGGGTACCTAACTCAAATTAGGGAAAGTAAAAGCGGCTGGTTATAATGCTTACCATTCTATTCCTTCACATGCCGAGGCCACAGAAGCAGAACTCTACTTCACTTGCCCCGTAGACAGTCAGGTTTGATAGGGACCTTGACTTGGTTACTTTGAATGTCTGTAAGATGCTGCAAGATGCATTAAAACAACAGAGTAGTTCTATGTTGGATGGTGCATGATAGCTATTTGTCTGTTGAATACAACTGGTTATGGTGTAGTGTATGATGGGTGGGGCAGCCATTTATCTATGTATCTAATTAATTAGAACAGCTGGTTACGCCAGGTTCATTAACCACCACGTTGTGCTCGATACTCATGCGGGTGGGGTTTTGTAAAGTTTGACCTGAGACAGCAGTTGTAAAGTTTGACTGCTTGTAAGTTTGACTGCTTCTGTATCTCGAGTAAGTTTTAAATAGACTTCTTGTATGTCTCGAGAAAGTTTTAAAGTTTGACTTCTTGTATGTCTCGAGAAAGTTTTAAAAGTTTGACTTCTTGCGTACCTCGCGAACGTTTTAAATCTTGACTACTTGCATGACTCGAGAAAATTATAAAGTTTGACTGCTTGTGTGTCTCGAGAAGCGTGTGTGTTCCGAGAAAAGAGTTCAAACTCCAGACTAAACGCGACTTGTGTCAATATTCGTATGTAGGAGTGCGGCTATGGTATAGCTATTGTATGTACATATGTGCCGCTATGGTGTGTATATCTGCCATAACGGTATGCATATCCGTAAGTATATCGTCAAATCCCAGCAAGCTGAGAGGCCGGCGCTGCTTATGACGAGAGCTGACAGTCCCCACTACACACGGACGTATCAAGTCTGGCGCAGTTGTCCTTCCCTTTCTCCCCCCACAGTGGATGTAACCTACTGGTTCGCCAACTCTGTAAGACACCCCCCCTCCCCCGCACTAGAAAAAAGAATGAATGGGTCTGTTGAAGTTTCCCCCCCCCCCCACCCCTGCCCTATTCCCCGTCTCCCCCCATCCGTGGCTGACATATCGGCACATTAGTCCTCTCGACTTGGTCGGCCTCAGCTTCATTTTCATAACATTATTCATGCGTGACTTCTGACCCCGGCTTGACCTTATCTATCCTAGCAGAGCTAATGTCTGGTTCAACTCGTACACCCCACCCCCCCCCCACCAGCAGTAACAAACCACCCAATAGGTTATCAGCCAACACACAAGGGACCGAGGCAGATATTGTTTAGTATCTCGGCCCTGTTTGATGGGACACCGCAGGGGACATAACTCTCACGTTTTAAAACGCCGGGAGTTTCTTTGGCTGTCGTTGTTGTCCATGTGACTATTACATGTTGACATCTGGGGTTGACTCGCCGGCAAGACGTCATGTAGGCAAGATGCTGACTAGACAACTCAATTGGAGTCACAAGATTGATGACAGTTGCCGGATTATTGAAATTGTTTTGTGATATTTAAACAAAATTCTAATTTGGCTAAAGTTGGGTGTGTTTCACACAT